TCTTTTAAACAATTCAACTACCAATTAATATAACAATAATGGATCTAGCTAATGCATATGTGAATCGACCTTCCTCTTTTCCTATTGAGCCTTGATTTGTATTATGTTTAATTTGAAGTATCCTTATTTAAAGAGATTTAGGCCCTCTTTGGTTTATGGGAATAGGGGTCCGGAACCAGAATCAAAATTATCCATTCCAATTTCAACTGTTTGGTTGGGTGGAATCAGAATCCCATTCTCATTCTTGCTAGGATGGCATTCTCACATTTGAGGGAATGGCCATTCCCTCCCCCTCCCTTGGGAATGAAATCCCATTTCAATTTATTCAAATTCCAATTTTGACTCCTATCTAAACCAGACTATGAGAATAGACCATTCTGATTTCAATTTTAAGGGATTTTGATTCCCATATCTGATTTCAATTCCGTCTGTGAACCAAACAGACCCACTAAATGATGGAGTAATTGTAAAATACCAATGGTATTTCAAAAAGAGATAACTCCTGATAATAATAAAACATTAGGATTCGTTCGGAAACGATGCAAATGGAGTGTAAATCCCGGTTCAGGGTAAATTTGCACTCTCGTTCACATTTTTCTGTATTTGGCAATATTACATTTATGCATTGACAAATGACAGAAAGTACATTTTCCGATGCATATTTACATTGATAATAAGATGTAAAAGTATATCAATAAAAAAGAAGTAAATTTGCATTCAAATAGGCTTTTGATAAAAAAGGCATATGCTTTATTGGAATTCGTATTTGCATCCATTACAGCTAAAAAGTATGTCTGATAAGAAGGTAATTGTGTCGATGGAAAAATAACCCAACTTTGTAATTTATATGGACCGTTTTACACTCTACATATTTGCATTCACACTTATTTGCATAATTTCCAAACGGAGCCTTACTTGCAAAACCAAAATCTCCCCCATGTGCAGTAGTATTCAATGTGCTACCCAATATTCTACAATTAATGAGACTTTATGAAAACACGACATAATGACAAGACTGGATATAACATATATTAAGTTGTAATCAAAACATAAGGGATAAACAGTTTTGCTACCAAAATGCTGCCCACAAGACACTATAGCCGCACAATTGGAGCATCGGTCTTGCATATGTCATTCATGGGAACTTTTTTGAAAGTGCGCCCCACGTGCACATCTCAGCGTGTATTGAAAACATCTCCTGTACTTGTCACTAGGGGTGCAAGTTGGGTGGGTTGGGCCAGGTTTATGGTCAACCCAGGCCCCGCCCTAAAATTTGAGCTTAAGGCTCGAGCCCGGCCCGAACCTAAGGTCAAGCCTGATTTTCCCTACCCGAGCCTAGCTCGCATTGTAATTTAATGCACTCGGGTTGGGCTCAGGCCGGGTTGGTCAATGAACCCACTTTAAAATTATACATATATAAATGTATTTATTCAAATATATATACATAAATACATATATGTATGTATGTAAATATATATGCAACATTTACATACACACACACGCACACACACACACACACACACACACATATATATATATATATATATATATATANTATATATATATATATATATATATATATATATATATATATATATATATATATATATATATATATATATATATATATAATTGGGTCAGGTTTAGGATACCTAAGGGCTAGGCCTGAGCTTGGCCCAAAAGAATAAAAAAGCCTGACTTCTTGGGCCCAAGCCCAACCCAAGGACCGAAAATCCAAGCCCAACCCATGTAAAATTCCAAGTTGAGCTTGTTCAGGCTCGGACTGGGCTTGCCCAACTTGCACCCCAACTTATCACTAGGAGATGTTCCCAATACACCATTGGGATGTGTTGTGGGGTGCACTCTGTGAGGGGCAAATGTGAACTCAACAAATCCAAGCTTGACAAAAGGATTTCAAATCGTGTTAAATTATGAAAATGCCTAGCCTTACCAAGATTTCCCATTTATTAGGGGTGGCAAATGGGTGGGTTGGGTTGGGTAAGGGTTAAATACCAACCCACCCATATTGACCCACCAACCCAACATAACCCATCATCAATCCTTGTTAAAGGGCCATAACCCACCTAACCCTAACCTACCCATATTGACTCTTAACCACCCTAACCCATATTAACCCATCTATCCTCACCTATAAATACAAAAATAGGTTGGTACTCGGTACGGCCCAAATACCCAAAATAATAACTTTTGAGAGAATAATCTCTTTCAAGACTGTCAAGTGACAAAAACGAGTCAGGTGAACCCATATACCCGAAAATGCAAAATGTTGTAGATAAATGTAGAACATAGTAGAAAATTTGCAGAAAATACAAAAAAATTAAAAAATCAGAAAATACAAAAAATACCAGAAAATTACAAAAAATACTAAAAATTGCAGAAAATTCAGAACTTTTGTAGAAAAAATCAGAATATATGCAAAAAATATCAGAAAATGCATGAAAAACACTAGAAAAATGCAAAAATTATGTAGAAAAGAAACAAAAAATTGTAGAAAAATGCAGAAAAAATACCAGAAAATTTCAAAAAAATGTAGAAAAATACCAGAAAATTACAAAAAATGCAGAAATGCAAAAAATGCATAACTTATAAAAGTACTTTCATAAAAGTACTTTCGTAAAAGTGCTTTCATAAAAGTTCTTTTATAAAAGTGTTTTTATGCTTTCATAATAGTAATTTTATAAAAGTGTTTTTATAAAAGTACTTTTATAAAAGTGTTTTTATAAAAGTACTTTTGTAAAAGTGCTTTCGTAAAAGTACTTTTGTAAAAGTGATTTTAGGCTTTCATAAAAGTGTTTTCGTAAAAGTACTTTCACAAAAGTTCTTTCGTGTAAAAGTACTTTTGTAAAAGTTCTTTTATGCTTTCATAAAAGTACTTTCATAAATTTCTTTCGTGTAAAAGTGCTTTTGTAAAATTATTTTTATAAAAGTGCTTTCACAAAAGTGCTTTCGTGTAAAAGTACTTCTATAAAAGTGCTTTCGTGTAGAAGTGTTTTTGTAAAAGTGCTTTCGTGTAGAAGTGCTTTCATAAAAGTCCTTTTGATAAAATTACTTTATAAAATTGTTTTTGTAAAAGTGATTTTTGTGTAAAATTGCATGTGAACATGAAAGTTAATAAAATCTATTTTATTTCTTTTAATTTCAAAATGAAATGTGGTATGGTGGTTTGGAATTGTATTGAGATGTGGATGCGCTAGAGGCTTGAGTTTGAATCACTTCAATTGTTGATTTTTTGAGATTTAAAGTTGACTTTGACTCAACCCATCCTGGCCCGCATGATTCAACCCATCCTGGCCCTAATGGGTACCCTTGACCCAACCCACTTTGACCCTTTTCCACTGACCCTAATGGGTTACTCAACCCATATTGACCCACCAATAAATTGAGTGGGTATGGGTGGGTTCCAAAGTGGGTGGATTGAATGAGTGAAATGGGTTGGAGTAGCCATACCTTTACCATTAAAAACAAATCTTCTTCTTGACACATCTCACATGTCATCTCTTCATTTATTGGATATGAGCGAGCAATGACTCAACTATGACAAGACCAACTAAAAAAAAGAGTCGGGATGCAAATGGCATTTGGTATTCTTTTCTCCTTTTTCTTTTTGTTTTCTTTTGGGTTGGATGGAAAGCCCTCTAATTTCCTATACTTCAGGTTTCTCTTAAATATTATTTACTACTCACAAGTAAATTATGAAATTAAGAGGGCAATATTAATTTAAGGTATTATTGTTATTATCAGCCCTATGTTTATATTAGTGTTTTTCTTGAGTGCCATATGTTCTCTATACTCAGTTCCATTTGTTATCAAATCTAAAATATATGCAAAATTAATTTATGTCTAGTTCAAGTTTGTACGTATTTGTTTATTTTTTTAACCATGATGCAACCTTGCCTAATGCAAATTTCGCATTTCTATCTCATTTGCACTCATTGGAAATGCAAATTTTATATTTTGTAAATTATTACAAAATTTCCACCACCTTCATAATTGGGGTTGTATCCTTTTACCTCCAATTTCCCATTTACACTCCAATTCATGTGTATCAATATAGGTCCCATTTGGTTTGCTGGAATAGATGTCTGGAATCGGAATCTCATTCAGTTCATAAAAACTTGTGGGGCCATTTTGAGGCCAATCAATCTTACCATGTGGAAGAACGAAAGATTTTTGCATTATTTAGGCTTATTCATTAATGCTGTGTTTGATTTGAAAGAAAAAGGTAGAAATACCTAATATGTCTAAAGATCTGACTAATTCAAGCAATACTCTCATTGTGAGAGCCTTTCTTTTCCATATATTATTGGCTTCCATCATGGAAATGTTAACTCCCATGTAACTGTGACAAGACATTTGCCCCATTACAATTAGTGTAAGGGCACCTAAGTAAAGAATAAAAGATAAAAGATAGCTTTTATAAAATTGGGATTTGTTCCTCACTGAACGCTCCTATCATCAATTTTACAGCCACATCCTATTATGTATTAGGAATATCTCCCCATGAATAATAAATACAAGTGCAAGAGATGTTCTCGATGTATGATATATTGTGAAAAGTAGATATAAATTATTCTTTATATAATTAAATTTAACTTTTATGACATGCATCAAAAGGAAAACAAATATCAACATTATAATAATATAGATATATAGATATATACTACTCTGGTACACATGGGTGATATGGGACAATCGTCCTGGAGCGAAGGGAAAGTGCAAAAAATCCCAACTCCCATATTAGAAGGCCTCAAAAGGAGGCATTCTTTGTCATGTGGCAAGAGGCCATTGGGCTGACTTTGACCCATGAAAACAGCCTGTTTCCCTTTCCTGCACGGCTCAGTCGATTAAACCAGTCCCCACTTCACCTTGTTTTATTGAATTCAGATCATTTTAAAAATAAAAAACGGTGCATGTGGATGTGGCTTTATTTTCATATTTTCCATTTTCTTAACCTTCGGGACTGTGGAGTCACAGAGAGAAATATATACTTGATGAAAGTATAATCTGGCCGTTCTTGTAAAATCGAAGGAACAGAGCTTGAATTTCAAGTTCTCGAGACAGAAGAAGTTGAGAGGGTGGTGGGACCTTGATTTGATTTAAAAGGACAACCATGACATAACCTCCCATTCCTTGATCTTGGCTTTCGGGGGGAGTGGTGGACTGTGGAAACAACAAACGCGCGCTCACCAAACAACACAAACACGCAGAGACAGACATACATCGGCTTGGGAACTCTTTGGAAAGTTGATACTAAGTCGAACATTTGGTGTGCGAAGCCATTCCCATTATGGAAAACCAACAGCAACGCCAGCCTTTGATGAGATCCAGGTTCAAACGTGTATGCGTCTTCTGCGGGAGCAGCCCTGGCAAGAAACCCAGCTACCAGATTGCAGCAAATCAGCTTGGGAAGGAACTGGTACTACTCTTCACTCCAGATATAGAGAGAGATTGAGAGAGAAGGTTTGGGGGGCTGTCTTTCTTCCCTTCTTTCTGTCTTTAGTTCTTGATGAGTGGAGGAAAATTCACTCAACAAGCTCTGAGGACAAATTCTTCTTGGAAAATTTGTCTTAAGATAGGTTTTAAGGAACTAGAGCTTTTCGAGGGATTTGATTGATTTGATCAGATACTAGTGAAACGCAAATCTATTGAGATTTTGTTTACCAATTATGGAGAAATAAGTCCCAGAGTCTAGTTGCTTATTTCCATCTTATTCTGTCTCTTAGTGTGGAATTAAACTAGTTATCTTCCATGAATGCTTCATTATCAGACATTCAAACTCTCTCTCACTGTATAAAGTGAATCAATTGTTGTCCATAAGGAAACCCGATTGATAAATTCAGTAACTACATCAGAAAATTAAAAAGAGGAAAAGATGTTGGCGAGAAACAACTAAAATTATTTACTCTGTTTTCTACAGAAGTATTGCTGTGTTTGTCTTGAGAAATATACTCAAATTGATGGGTTCCTCTTTCCCATTTTTATTTCTTTTTGAATTATCGAATTGTAGGTCGAAAGGAGCATCGACTTGGTTTACGGGGGAGGCAGCATTGGTTTAATGGGTCTCGTTTCTCAAGCTGTTTACGACGGCGGTCGCCACGTAATTGGGTAAAATCTCTCTCTCTCTCTCTCTCTCTCTCTCTCTCTCTCTCTCTCTCCATACTATTTCTCTTATCATTTTTTTAATTTTCTATTGCAGAGTAATTCCGAAGACTCTCAAGGAGGTAGTAAATCTATTCCTGCAGATTTGTTTGCTTTTATAAATCAGACAAACAGCCTCTTATTTATATAATCCAGAAGATGAAAAAAATGTTCTACTTTTAGGTAACCGGAACCACTGTTGGAGAAGTGAGAGCTGTCTCCGGTATGCACCAAAGAAAAGCAGAAATGGCTCGCCAAGCTGACGCTTTCATTGCCCTCCCAGGTTCCTCTCTCTCTCTCTCTCTCACTCTCTTTCTCTCTTGTTTTCATGATTAAAGAATTTGAAACATTTTTTTTTTTTGGTATCTGGGAGCTCAGGGGGCTATGGAACCTTAGAAGAACTCCTTGAAGTGATCACCTGGGCTCAGTTAGGAATCCATGATAAGCCGGTATATTCCATTTACTGCATTGTTTTAAATGAGAATTCTTCCTTTGAACTGAAAAAAAGGAGAAGAATAGATCAGATTTTGTCTCTAAAACAAAAAGGAATGATTAGAATTCTTCTGAAATTTCGTCGAGCAGGTGGGCTTGTTGAACGTTGACGGCTACTACAACTCGCTCTTATCTTTCATTGACAAGGCCGTGGACGAAGGCTTCGTTGCACCCGCAGCGCGACACATTATTGTATCTGCGCAGACTGCCCATGAACTTATGTGCAAGCTTGAGGTACAATAATATGATGGGCCCCACTCCCACCTCATCAGTACACGTGGCTCCCACATAGACCATTTACCCCCGTGGACCCCCTCCATCCAGATCCGGCGGAGGTTTCATCACATGATCATCATCAGTCTCTTGGCATTGGGATTGGGACCTTTCAAATGATGAGTCCTGATTCCTTCCCCTTGCCACGTGGTCCAAACACATCTTAAGCTCTAGGGTCGTTTTCACTTTTCAGTTCTCCTCCACTCTCTCTCTCTTTTATTTTATTTACATACATATAAAAAAAGGGATCTCTGGGCTTGGGCCTTGGGATCATGATCCTGATTCCCGATCCATCCCTCTCAACAACCAAAATGGGGTCCACCACCTAAGTCCTCGTTTTTAGACGTTGTTACGGTACAGTCCACAGCTTATATATAAATTTCACCTTCCAAGGGTAAAATCGTAACTTTGGTTTTGGGCACTGGCCTCTGGGCAGGTATATGTACCTAAACACTGTGGGGTCGCATCTAAGCTAAGCTGGGAGATGGAGCAACAGTTAGGATACCCAAGCAAGTCAGACATCGCTCGTTGACCGGATTGTACATGCTTGTTGCTTTGGATTAACGACCGTATATCATATAATCATACGTAGATCTCTACAGGAAAACCGTATAGATGCGGTGATGTCCCCCCATATACAAAAGCCACAGGCCTTTTAATTCACTGTGGAATGTGGATCGATTAGCTGCTTCTCAACTCTCAACTCTAATGCTGTACCCGTCTCTACGTGTATATTATATATTGCTTTTCTCCTTTATTGTTATTTATTATTAATTTTTAATTTTGGCTGTGTAGATCAGAGCTGGAAAAACAGGGATAGTCAGTGTTTTTGGTTATGGTGATTGTTAGTAGTTTGGTTTGTGGTGTCGGTGGTTACTTTTCAAGTCTTTAACTCTGTAGTCTGTATTTTTCTGTTTACCTTTTTTTGTGTCCAGTTTGCTGCAACTTGCACGTGAGAACTAGTACATGTGTGAGTGTCAGATTGAGAGAAAGAGAGAGGGAAAGAATGATTTATAATTTTGTTATTGACCATTTTATAAGGTATTAATTCCTTATTTCTTCCCTACATAATTACTTAGTAAGTGACGTGGCCGGATGATGTGTTCAACTTTGCCATCTAATTTAGTGAACTTTAATTAATATAGCCATTGAAATTCTTAATGTTACATTTGGGCCATGTTTGAATCAAGAGTCTGGATCTTCCACCCACGAGAACTCTGCCTACGTGTATCCACATAACATCGCAGTCATAGAGAACATCTCATCCTCCTATTATGTAGGGGGAGATGTTCCCAATTCACGGGGATAATGTGTTGTGGGTAGTCATGGGCATAGTTCTCGTGAACAGGAGATCCGGATTCTGGAATCAATGCCATTTTCTTGAGGGGTGTGTTTTGAGAAAATGGTGTTGAATTGGCATTGCCATATCAGTACATTGTTGCTAGCAAAAGTAAAAAAAAAAAAAACAAGAAAGCACCAAGACCACACCTTTCCCGATTTTCAAAGCATGATCTGAGGAAATATTTTTTGGAAAAACATATAACCAAACATTAGGTGTAGTCAAATGCTTTTTTTTAAGAAAACGACATCGGTTCCAAACACACTGGTTTAGATAAACTTTAGGAGTTATGTTTTAAAGCCCAAAAGCAGAAAAACCCAATTCTTATCAGTTGATCAAAAAGCCCTTTTGTTTTTTGTTTTTTTTTTGGCCCAATTTTGTTTTCGCCCAAATCTTAGAAGTGAAAGCTTACCAAACAAAGCCTTAGTTTACAAAAAGAATTTGATTTTCCACGTGGCAGGGTTGTTGAGATGGAATTTTGCCAGATATAAGTTAAGACGTATACTTTGGAAACTAGTTCCTCTCCGAGATGAAACACAGACGTGGCTATGTCTTTTCTATGAAAAAGGGTTAAAGATATATTTTAATTTAAATGTATACTTATAGAGATGTGGGTTCCAAGCTAACCACCATATCCATAAGACGAGTTTGGCAAATCACATTGGATAGAAATGGATAAAGATAGATGGGTCTAAGGTTTTTAAATTTGACCCATGGATAATGGAGCCCACCAAACAAGTTCTTTAAATTATAATGTTTCTTCACTTTTTAGCTACTCCCAAACATGTCGGCAATCCCAACCCATGTTTTTTCTCCATAAAGAAAGAATGTTATTGGATGGTAGAAAAAGTCATTTGGTTTAATAAACCATTCTTATCTCTTAATTTCTTTTCTTTTATTTTAAGAGTATTAAGGTTCCTTAAACTTGGATTTCGTTTAACAAAGTCCATGCATTCAACAGAGTATTTTAATTCAAATTAAAAAATTCTATATATCGCACAGGGCCCGATTAGTATTGTTTAAAAGTTAAAAAAAATAATATATTTTTTAATTCAAATAAAAACAACCCAAAAGGATTTTAAGTATCAATAGTTTATATATACTTGTCTCTCCCCTTTCTAATATAATTTCCTATATTTAAAAGTTTCCAACTAACACTTATTGAATTTTCTCCCTTCTATTTTAAGGTTGTGTTTGGTTTGAAGTAAAATGTAGGGAAAGGAAGGGAAACCTATACTTGTAAAGATTTTCCTACACTTCCCTTCCTTTCCCTACTTCCTTCAAACCAAACATAGCATAAATGAAACAAAACATATCTCCATTCTCTTCCCCATCGCCTTAATTCCTATTTTTTTTTTCAACCAATTAAACTGTTAATTACTCAATGTTAATTAACACATATTTTAAGTTTCAATATGTTGAAATTTAAATAAATATATAAATAATTAATAGTGTTCACAACTATTTTTAAAAATAACTGCTCTAGTGATGATCACAGGATCATTAGGTAGTATATTTATTATTAAAAGGGATCCCTCAAACAAAAGGCTGTGTCCTTCAGAGTTCATGCTGACTGATGACCCTTTATTTAAAAAAAAAATCATTTGAATATTTTTAATTCAAAACAAAAATTTAAGGGTTCTGATATCATGTGGTTCCACCCTAGAAGTTCTTACTGAATCAAAAGTTGCCATGTGAATGTAAGCTCCATACTAAATCTCCTCAACAAACAAATTTTAAATTTTAATCCAAATTATTGATTCTTTTTTCTTTTCAGAAGTTTTTTCAGTCCTAAACAATTTCCTACTTGTTATAAAATATTAAAATAAGAACATGGTTGTTCTGTAATATATAAACTAGTTAAGAAGTATCTTCTATAGAAAAATAAAAACTAAAATTGAGAATTGTACAAAAATATGAACTGTTTGAATTATGGTATACCCCCCCAAAAATATATGATGGGTGATTTGCTACTGTTAATTAACTATATGATGCATAAATAAGAATAAGATGGATAAAAAGTCATTTGATCTGCTGGTTTTTGGTAGAATTAATGATGAAGATTATGGGTCCTAATTAATCATCTCAAAATGAAATAGGTAGTAAAGTAACTCATGGGCCCCCAGACCACAATTAACTGAACCCAATTTATGAAATTCTCCTATTCTTTGGGCCCATCAGAAGACAAGAAACTTGTTGATAATTTTTCTTTTTTTTTTTGATGGGTCCTACATGTTGTCTGTTGACTGTTGTATAAGCCTAGAAAATCTCATCTCACGTGGAAGTTACCACGTGGCAGATCCTAATTGGCCAATATCTGTTTATTGAACGTGTCATATGGGAAAGGGAGCCCATGGAATGTTGGCCAATCAACATAGTTTCTATCTGGGGAAATTAATTAAGAGAGAGGAGGAATGAGACGTACAAACTGGGAGGGGAGGATGAGGGGACTGGGGAGGGAATCATTGAATCCATCCACATTATTGAACTGAAACAAGGACACTTTTCCAGCTGCTGTACGAAGTAATGAAAGCGAAAGATGAATTGGATGGCTGTAGTAGAAGCGAGTGGTCTCCCCTCCACACTTTGATGTTGAGTCTGTAGTTATTGGTGTTGTTGTTGTTGCTGTTATCGATTATCTGTGATTGCAGATAAGGGCTTTTTACCAAAACCCACGTGGGCATGTCATCTGAGCTGATCTGGGTTCAGAAGATTTTAATAAATTAAAAAAATAATAATATTATTAAATTCAAAGAGCTTTGCTCTGTGAATTTGTGATTGATTATTGAATGGATCGACTGACGAGTTCTACTTTCTTTGATCTCTTGCACCTGCTGACTGCTGTTGGTAGGTAAAACTAAAGCAAGGAATGTCATGTGTCATTCTTCTTCGTATACTACATGTTAAGCTTTTGTTATATATAGATAGATGAAGATGATCATTCTCTGATGATCTCCGTAGGAGAATGTTCAATAATAATGTTAATGTTTATCTGCACAGCCGCTGGTAAAAGGCCCTCAATAACTCTTTATACTGTTAAGGCCTGGCTGTATTGACCTATTGTGTAACCAGGGGGGGCCGTGCTTGTTAAGTGAAATGTTGCTTAAAATACTTAATTTTTATTTTAGTAATTTGTTATGAAAATAACTTAATAATTTAGTAGTTTGGATTATATTAATAATTTTTAACAAAAATAATAAATTATTGTTAATTACTTAATAAAATGATTATTTTTTCATATTATCTGCCAGTTCTATTTTATTTATTTTACTTTATTAATGATTAAATGTTACATTTTTTGTAAGAATTACTTAAATATTAATAAATATATAAAATTAGGTTGTAGTCATAATTAAATTAATTTAAGTTCATGCTCGATGTTTAAGACTTTGGGTTGGGCTTTGGTTTGTCCTCTACCAGACCAAACCCCCCCAAGTTGCTCCTCTAAGAGTGATGTGACCTATGTAAGGAGACTGAACCAAACCAAACTGAGTACAACCCATGCATGCATTATTTTTGGGTTTTTAACTATTTTTTAGATAAAAATTATTAATATTGAATCCGAAGGAGCTATGGGGGATGAGTTACCCCCATTGTGTAGCCTAATGAGCCACACAAAAAATAAAATAAAAAAAAAAAATCTTGGGCAAGATTTTGATAGCATATTAATAGATTTTAAGGTGGCCTCACACAGTTGGCCCACACCCCAATTGTAATAGTATTTGTCTAGGCTTGGAACAAGGATATATAGGCTTGCCCATGTTAATTATAAAACTATGATTTTTAATAAATTAAATTATATTTAATTTTAGTCTATTATAAAAAAATTCATCTATACATTAATATAAAATTTGTTCTCTCTCTCTCTCTCTCTCTCTCTCTCCCTCTCTCTCCCTCTCTCTCTCTCTCTCTCTATATATATATATTACTTTAAAAAGCACGAATAGCTTCAGCAATATTTCTAGATTTCTTTTAAGACAAAAGTTATCCTTCCATATTTAAAGTAGAAGGGCTGGGCTGCAGACCGTGCCGTGGGCTTGGATCGTGCCAGGCTGGGCCACAGGGTGGGCCTTGGGCCTATGCCGAACCGGGTTGTACTGTTTTTTTTTTTTAATTTTGATTTCTTTTCTAAGTAAAATTGTAAAATTAAAATATTTAACTTTCCTATGAACTTTGGGAATTAGGAACTATTTAAAAAATTAAGAAGTGAGAAATCTAAGTTATTTAATACATAAATGAAAAAAAAAAGATACTTAACCAAATTGAAATAAGAATAATGGAATAACAAATTGGAAGAAAAATAGGAATTTTATTTCATTTAAATTTGAATGGTACAAATTAGTGAATTGCAAATACAATGATTGGATCATTGCATACTTGGATGAATGAAATATAAAAATGGAATAAATTAATAAAATATAAAAAAATACAATATGGTTACAAATTGAAAATAAAAAATTACATTGTTAAAAAAATAAAAAATATATCAAATAAATTAAATAAAATTTAAAAATTTTACAATAATTTGAAAAAATGA